GCAGAATGGCCTTCCTGTGCCCCGTACGCATCCGTCGCGGAAAGAAGAAGAAACGTAAGTAAAGACGGCACAAGCCGTAGAAAAGGAGCTAGAGAGAATGAGAAGGAGAGAAAGAGAACGAGATGAGGAGAGAAGGGAAGATCGGAAGGCATAGCAATTCGGTCGCGAGGGCCAGTTGTCACATTCGGCTCGATCACCTGTTGCTCGGGACCGGTTATGCAGCTTCCACTCCGAAGCGAGCCGGGCCGAGTTCAAGCACCGATTACGCGCGACTTTCGATTTTTCTTCCGCCGGAAAATCGCGAGATATCGTCTTGCGAAAAATGTTACATTCCAAAGTTAATTACCATTGCTATCACTTTTCGAAACATATCTTGTAGAAGTAATTTCAATCGTGCTTGAAATAATTTTTATTCTGTATCTTGTTACATATTTTGCAAATATATGTCGCGAATAATTTTTATCACAAAAATAATTTTTGGAATAAATAATTTTGGAATCACAAAAATAATTTTTATATTATTTAAAAATATATATCTAAAAATTCTTGTAAAGAGAGGAATTTTTTAATCAGTTTTATATAAATTTATTTGTATTTATGATAAATAAAATTAATTAATTTTTAATATATATAGCCGGGACACACAACTTTAATTTGGAGAAAGATTGTGGGACGGGAGGCACAGGACTTGGCTTGGGTACCAGGGTGCCGTTACCTCCTGGCCGTATAACTGGAAGTGCGAGCATTGAAACCCTCGTAAGAGTCGGCATTGAAAAGGAGAATGGACTCTCTCCGGATAGTAAGATGGTTATTGTGCATGACTTTACTCCTTGCGTGGACGATGAACTTCAAGTCAAAAGAGGCCAGGTCAGCGATTAATTTACAGGGTTATTGCCCAGAGCTATTGCTCAGTTATCATTATTCTTTTTATTACAAGCGCATTATAAGTAGCGCTATTTGTATTACGCATGCTGTTTTTCTAATTCATATAACTTGCATATCTAGTTTCTTTATCTCATTGTTTGCCTACTTGATTATAGTAAGCAATAGAATATGATGGAAGATAGTTACTAAAAAAAAAATTATATTAATACCAGAATTTTTACATTTTAGGTCGTGAATGTGCTTTACAGGGAAAACGATTGGGTATATGTAATAGCGGCTGACACGCGTATGGAAGGTTTCGTGCCGCATTCGTATTGCGCACCGTATACCTCACAACTGGCGGAATTGACATTGGCCAGTTTGAACAACGTGAAGAAGAAGCTACCGCGGTCCAGCGAGAATGACTGCGATCTTCTTAGTACAGGTCGCCTACAGGAGACACAACAGACTGATACCGGATCGGCCTCAGATTGCGAGAGTTACGCGCGAAATAACATCACCACCGCGGATGTCAACGTCAATCGCTCTAACATCACGCAGTCTCAGAATTCCATACAAACCATCTCATCCCAGCCGGATGTACATCCCTTCTTTAAGGTATTAATTGATTTATATCAATTTCTACCAATGTAGATTGACTTTATCTAATCTCTTAAGTTCAATTTACTTTTTTCTTTTTTTCAATTATGAGAATTAGAAGAAAAAAAAGAGTTAAATTATAATTAAAATTATAATTAAAATATAATTATAAATTATAATAAAGATAAATTGTAAAGATTAAAATTAATAGACATTAGTAGAAATGGACATGACTGCTTAATTAATATATTTATTTTAATATATTTACTTTAAAAATATGAATCTTAATCATCATTTAAAATTGAAAATTATTTAAATATTAAAAGCTTACGGAATTTCTTTGGACAAATAAAATATCAGTGATTATAAATTAGGTGCATGTAACATTCATTAATGAAAAATTCTACTATATATCCTGCAGGATCCATCAGCTGGAAGATATATCGTTCTTTATACGTTCGTGGCGCGGGACGAAAACGATGTGAGCGTCGAAAGAGGTGAATTTGTAACAGTGCTGAATCGCGACGATCCGGATTGGTTCTGGGTACTCCGACATTGTGATGGTAACGAAGGTTTTGTACCGTCTGGTTTCGTTTACCCTGGCCACGTTCTCCATTCTTATGCCACTACGACGGCTACTACTACCACTACGAATACAGCATCCGCGGAAATTCATAGTCCAGGTTGATTTTTTTGAACTGCTAAATCATTTATAAATCTTGGAAAAATTATTTTCTAGAATATACGATAAAATGTACGATAGAATTTTTTATAATTATCGATTTGTGTTCAACAGTATTCATTTTGCAGGCAAGGGTACAGGAGGCGAATCACTACAGCAAAAAGGTGTACGAGATTTCCGAGACGAAACGACCGGTACGGAATTAGTGGTGCTTTATGATTACAAGGCGCAGGCGCCAGATGATTTATCTGTGAAACGGGCCGATTGGATATATGCGGATCTAGGAAATCAAACGGTGGACGGTTGGCTTTGGGCTTACGCGCCCAAGACTCGCAAGTACGGTTTTATTCCTAAAGCGTACGCGCGACCCCCTGCCATGACTAGCTTATGATTCGGAAATTAGAGAAGGAAAAAAAAATTCGCCTTCTTTAAATAAGTTTATAATAGGTCCTTCGTATCTTCCCCTTTTATGTATCGTATTGTCAAGTACGTGTAAAAATCGAGATAATTTTATTTAAATGTTTATATCTCACCAGATTACTGCAAAAGGAAAAATGAATCCTAATTAATTAGAAAATGGTGGATATTTTTAAGAAATAAACGAAAGAAAAAAAGAAAAAAGGTTTGCGCAGTGAGAGATGAAAAACTTCTACACATTTCATTTGCTTGATCCATTTTTCCTTATATATTTTTTGTGATTTACATCACGATTACTTAAGAGACAGAGACATTTATATTAATATGGAACAAGTTAGTGTACAATAACATTTACATTGAGACTAGTACAACCGGAAGTGATATGACTGATCAATCCCTCGTGGAGAACTATACAATCGCCGGTCAAAAAGACGTCACGCGGACATTGAGCAGTTCTCAGAGATGTCACAGGACCCGTATATGTAAGCGATCGGAATCCTCCATTCTCGATACTGTCAACGGCCTATTAACAATACTCATGTTAAACCAGTCAAATGTCATTATCCAGCTTTAAGCATTCGTACGTTTTCATCTTAAGCACGAATCGATCTGGTGAATACCTGAATACTACATCGAAGTCTATCAGCCGTGTCACTAACATCTAATCCCGCCACCCAGGCGATGATCATGTCCTTCTCACACTGGCTTTCACCGCCAGCATGCACATCCTCACAGCACGCATAATTGTGATTGCTATGTAGACGCGCTGCCAGCACTGGTAGAGGCAATCGATTCCGATACTTGGGGTTTATCTGACTGCCACCAAACAGCCTCGCTGAGGAATCTCTTATTGTTACAGAAATTTCTGCGATTAGTGTTCGAATTGAACGTACTTATTTTACAATCAAGATCAATCATTGATATTACACAATCATACGATTATAAAAATTTCTTTTAACTTTTAATCAATTGCAAATCAAACTTTGTTCACTGTTTATAATGGAAAAATTTGTTTTAGTGAATATATATACCGAATGCATCTTTTATGTAATATTTATATAGTGACTGATGATATACTAACGAGAGTTTTCCGGATACCAGTAAGAGAGCTAGACATCGGCTAGAGTTGCAAGAGAGAGCTCCATAACTGATAATAAGTGTACTTTCAGTACCGGGTTCGACGCTAAGGATAGGCACCTCGGGATGATCAAAGAGGAAGTGGTGGGTAAGCGCCGAGAAGGCGACGTTTACTGAGCAATCCAAACGCGGACAACGAATAGGTCTGCGGGAACAGTCAACGGAAGACAAAGAGGGACTTTTGATTTTCATTTCGGAGACATATCGGTCCACTGCGATATTTCTCCTCGTCACGTTGGAATAATCATGCTGTTCTTGACATTGCCTCCCGTAGTTCTCCGTTTGCTTCTCCTGACACGGATCGCCTCGGTCATGAACATACGAGGTGATATCTGACTCATAATTTAATGTTTTGTTATTCTCGACAGGCGTCGTCCTGTCAAAATTACAACTCCATTGATCGCGACGTGATCCCAATGCAGGATGTGACGGCGGTTGCAAGTATCTTGAATGTACGCGATTGCTGCGATCATCGTCTCTGCTCTGGAAAAAACTTGGGTGCGATCTTCGAGGCTGAAGGGAGTCGGCATCTAAGGGACATATCTTTTTTTTAGGTGATATTTTTCAATAATCTGTGCGTATACAGTGATCGATTTTTATAGATTAATTATCGCTGTCATTTGGTTCATTATTTAAAGATTTAAAAATGTGTAAGATTTTTTTTTAAAGATTTCCTTATTTTTTATGTATATTGATTTCTTTCGCAATATGGGAAAAACAAATATTAGTTGCAGAGTTCTATATAATATATAAAAATTTATTTTAAAAAAATTATTCTGTGCGCATCGAGTATGTTACACAGGAAATTTTGAAAATTCCCTAATTTTTTTAAAAAGGATCTCTTAATATAATAACAGCTAAAATAATTATTTTATTGACCTGATCGAATTGAAAAATTTCGTACGCAACGTTGACATAACAAATAATCCTCGGAATAATGTGGATCTTGTTTGGACTCGACGACACTTCCTCCGAGATTCGTCTCATTAATAATAATATGACAAACCGCGCATTGCCCATTCTGCGTAGTTTTCTGCTCGTTTTCATTTTCTTTTTTTCTCTGTATTTTTGCATCTTCATCTTCGCTACGGGTTTCGTCATGTTCCTCCTCTTCCGCCTCATCCTCTGTAGCTTCATTAGAGAGTTCCTTTCTTTTTTGTATTCTATTTTCGTTATCCAAATATTTTCGAACGAGATGGAAATAATTCAATCCCTATAAAGCAAATATTTCTCTTTATCCAAATAACCGTAGTCCAATATTAATTTAGTATTAGTAAATTACTAGAATATTACTAGAGTGTTATTCATTCCTATTTGAATTCACAAACATTAATTATCGCAAATAAATTTATCAATGTAATTATTAACTTTATATACATTATCTGTGTAATATTTATATACAATTTATAGTAATCAATTTTCGCAGAAAACTTCATATATTTCATAGAATTTATCTTATCGAGAGAACTGTGTTCACAGCTATAATTGATTGAAAAAATATATTGGATTGCGTTCGGAAAAAAATTATGTTAACATAAAAGATATACGATTTCCCGTATCGAATTTTGTGATAGCCGAATGCGATTTGCGTCTTTGTCATTTGCAGTCTCGTGCGTACAGATATCACATGCCTTGCGATGATTATTTATTACGTGGTCGTCGGCTTTGACGGCTCTATAATCGACCCTCTCGTTGTCCGTTTCTTCGCGAAGCATTTTTAATGGTTCTTATCACCGTTTTGATAACCCTTCGTTGATGACTGCCTTCGTGATCGTCCGATTTTCGCCACGAGCGTCTATCCTCGTGGTGACACAAGATTGCAGTTTCCGGTGTTTGAAACTCAACGTCTATGCAAAAAATATTTTTACGATGCACTTCTTTCTATTTTTAAATTATTATTTTTTTAATACGATTATTTTTCTTCACGACTTTATTATTTTCAACGAAAGTTTTTTTATTAGAGTTAAAATTAATCGAAAAATACAGTTTTATCTGTACTTGCTATTCTATTTTTAGACAATACCGCTAGAAAGAATTGAAATTCGTTGTCTTAAAAATTAGCCAAATAATTTGTCAAGTATTATTGTAGAATATCTGAGCTGAGAAACGATCAACTGTGAATCGACGAGCTTACCTAGATTTAAAAAGCTAATGTTCTTTTCTTGACAATTTTGTGAAATTAAGAAGAGATATATTGTAACGGTGAAGACAATCTTTTGGATTTCCGAAGTTGGCTCATGATACGATGAGTTATTCGATGACCGATTGAACTCCAAGCGTTCTCGATTTGCTGTAATTTAGTTCAAGAGAATTTACATACGTCAGAGCCAGAAAATGCTCGACACGGTATTTAGATTAGAAATAGTATGAGGCCATCTTGATGTCTCTCGGAACAAAGAAGAAACAAGTCGCGATATCAAAGCGATATCGTTGCAAGATTCGATAACCGTTTCATCGTGTTTTCTTTCCGCAGGTCTTGAAAAATCGTTCAATCTTAACTTATATAGAAGTTTGTGTCTTTTTTACATCAACAGGATGATACGTGATATAAAGCCATTAACCTTTAGCTTTCGTTGGTCGTACTATTGATGCGTCCTGTTACGATATCTATCTGTTTGTGCCTATCTGTTTGTGCGGAATATGTCTGATATGTAGATATCCGTTATCTATGATACAGCTATATCTTCTGAATTTATGAAAAGCAGGCCGATAATCGTCTCCAAAGTTTTTATATATTACGCTTCTAAAAAAATTACGTATTTTGCAAACATAAAATTATCACTATTTTTTTAATATTAAATCCTGTGACAATAATTGACAATCGCATAAATAAGGTATACACATATGGATGTTCATTAAGAAACACGTGTTTTATTAAAAAAGCACATATTAAAAGATTAGAAAATAGTAAACGATACGATGCGTACATCGCCTGGTCGGTTTTTAACAGCAAGTATACACGCAAGTATACGCCTAATTGGAACTGAGCATGTAAATTTGTTATTAATTAATATATGTGTCTGATTCCTCAGTAATCACATTCTTTGATCATAATACTGTGATTATGTTTAATTTTAATATAATTAAAGTATTAATACCTAACTAATCCGCGAAGATTCATATAATACATATCGTTAATTAACGGAACAGCAGCATATATTCAATAATAATTGCTGTAATTCACGACAGCATTTCTGTAAAATTACAGAAATGTTTCCGTAGTTCCTCGAAAATGTGAGAATACTTCAGAAAGTTATACTATTATGATATCGTTTTCATTCTGTACATTTTCGAGCTTCTTATAAACGACATTAACAATTTTCTACTTAACACACGTGTTAAACGCAAAAATCACTTAACACAAATAACCTAGTTTGTATTGTTCTTGTACTTATTTCTTAACATTGCCCGTCCTTGTCTCCGAACAATCATTGATCAACTTATGCCTCACATTTGCCAATCTCTCCGCGCTGATCGCCTGTATATTATCCAGATGCGAATTGTCCAGTAATGTCTTCAGATTTTGTTTACTGTTGAGATTGATCATGCTATTACTCTTGCCTCTGAGTGCCGATAACGTAGATGTTTGTTTGAAGAGCGACAGTAATGGCAACTCTTTAATATTGGCGGTTTTGCTCGTGAACTTTTTGGAAATAAAACCTTTATCGAACTGATCTGCATTTCCGGTATCCAAGGATTTGACGGACGACATTAATAGATTCTTCAATTTTATCGGACTGGAATTGGCACTGCGTGACGTACTCCTTTGTAGAATATTAGAGATAGATCGTGACCGCAGTGTGACATCATCCTGCGAGCTCTTTGAGGGTTGGCTAACGCTAGGAGTCACTGCGATGCGATGTCCTGATTCCATAGGCAGGAACTCGATATTAGAAACTTGCGCGGTATGTAAATTAGATTGTACATGGCTCTTATTGCCTAAAATATCATTCGTATTCTTATGGTTATTTCTTTCATCTTCCTCATTCATAACATCAGTATTGTTAAGAAAGTTAATGTCCCAGTTACTTTGTGTTTTCCTATCTTTAATAATGTATTGAGAGATTCCATTTGGCACGTTTTTTGATATATCTATGTTTTTCGCTTTGTTGGCGATTCTCTCCTTGAAATTAGATATACCTCTATTCACTGGACTACTGTTCAGTGATTTTGAAATATTGCTCTTCAAAGTGAGCATCGACGCACTGCGTACCGTTGAATCAATTGAACACGATTTTTGCAAATGCGATCTGCTGCTAAACTGATTCTTTGCAAAAGTCCCTGGATTTTCAGTCGATCTTGAAAATTGATTTGAATTATGCGCGTTAGATAATTCGGCAGACAAAGGTTCGTAAACCGTTTTGTTCACGATATCGTCAATTACCGCGTTCCGCAAGTCGGAAGAACTTTGTATATCGCGATCCTTGACATGCAACGAATTCTCTATCGACAAGTGATTTAATTTTTCCATACTAGCTTGTAACTCGAGCTCCCATTGTGTGAACTTGCTCTCGCTGCCATCTACAGATCTCTTGTCAAGATGTTCCGCATCATTCTTTGTCGAACAAGGTTTCTGTAAATTTTAAACGGATGATAGACATCAGCAATTTTAATGTTTTGGATGAATTTTGATCATTACATATTTTACTAACTTCGATATCGTGCAGTTTTTCGTTGTTTCCGTTTTCGTTATATCTAATAGGAGATACTTTACAACTGTCAGAAGTATTGAACTCATTCTTATACTTCTCACATGTATCCGAACCAATGAGCTCGGCCCCGACACCAGGTTCTCGCGGTCCATTAGCCACTATATCTAAAATATAAACATTATATTTATGGAAGAATAAATTTATTTCGTATTGTTTATAAAACATATTAATTACCATAATCTCTTCGTTGCTGATGTATTTGATTACTGATTTCCTCCAATGTTCGAAGACTCGTTGCATAATTACATTTAGATTCCTTAACAGCTTGCTGTAGATACTCCACTCTTTCCTTCTGCGTTGCCAACATCTGATCGCATTGAGTCTTTACTTCAAAATATGGTCTTGCTTTAATTATCGCGTTTCGATGCTTTTCCTCCAATTGCAGTAGCTTCTTCTCAGCGTCATGGAACAACATCGCTCTTCTGTGATGTTCTCGGCCACACTCCGCTTTTTGATTTTCCGCATCCATGACCTCGATGAATAGAATCATTTCATTTGCTATTTTATGTTTACTTCTTTATTACAGGAATCGATTATTGGTGAATTATTCAACACGGAATAAACATGAATAGGTAAACTACATTGTCAGGATATTCAATGGTTCCAAACGTTTCACAATTGAACACAGCGCGTTTTATTCTTGCTTACTTTAATAGTAGCATGATTAAGCATATCCTGCCATGCTTGGTCGAAATTCCACTCATGCTGATGAGACATGAATCGTGCTTCAGCCAGAGCCACGGTTTCCTTCGCTGCTGCATGAATTTCGCTGGCTCTCTGAAACAGCTGCGCCTGCTGTTGACACTGCACCTGCAAATTGTGAGAGGAAACGTCTCATTTGCTTCATTTATATAACAGTTGAGCTAGTTGTAATTTAAGTTGATTAAATAATAATGCAAAACAATTATTATCAATTTATAACAAGTTATTTTAAACATTATATTCAAAACAAATCATACATTTGTTAGTACATAAATATATTAAAAATTTATTAATAAAGCGCGTTAAAACAAATAATAACAAAAAAGTTTTGTATAATTTTTAGCATATATTGAATTCATTTTACTTTATTTAGAATTTTATTTATAATCGCGATTCGTGACAAATCAGCACAAATGGAATTCCAACTAGACATAGCAGGATATGCTCATTCATGTCACTATTAAAGTAAGCATCAGAGTAGAACGCACAACGTACGGTAATTACGCTACGCATTTGATAGCAATTCTTGTGGAAAGCATTGTGAAATATTTGAAGCTATTAGAAAATATTTACTTAATTTAATAAATATATCAAATTTATTAGATTCTATATAATATATATAATTATAGAAGTATATTATGTACAAGATATTATAGAAGTATATTATGTATAATTCAGTATATTATTTTTGTAATATAATAAAATTAGGCTCAAATAGATCTTTACCTGAGCTTGATGAGCCATTTCCAGTGCTTCATAATAACATCTTGCCTTCTCAATGCAACTGGTGCCCAATTTATCTGTAATTTCTTTCAACCTTCTTGTCGTATCCGAAAGCAATTGTCCAAAAGCAGTATGAGCTTCCTAAAAGTTATTATAATAATTGAATTCAAACAAATATTATAAATATACAGGATGTTCGTCTGTAGACAAAATAAAATATTATTTCTTACATCCAATTCAGTTTCCAGCTTATTAATATTATCTGCTGCATTGTTCAAATTCTCCAACTCAATCTAAAAGACAAATTTATCTTATAAAACATTATTTTATATTTCATACATAATTTATACAAAATAAAAAAATTATATTGGGTATGATCTTTTATTTCTTTACTTTGAGGGAAAAAATATATATCATACAATTATATATATCATGTCATATACCATAAGGTTTAAATTAATGATTTCTTTTTAATTACTGCCAATTACTTTAATCTTGTAACATTTCAGAATGCGAAAAGAAAGGTATCACTTCGCATTTATATTTTAATCAAGAAACTCTTATTTCATTGTAGAGAGTAGAGAAAAAGAGAATACTTTTACATTGTTTATATTTCCATTATTTCTTTTTCCTTTTCAAACGTGACATCGCAGGAAAAATAAAACAAAAGAGGAATGTCGCCCTCGGTCGCACGCGAACCCGTGGGGGTTGATTAAATCTCACTTCCTCCATAGAGCGAATAGACTCCTCTTATCGTTACGTCAACACAGCCGCGATTGATCCATTCATAACGAAGCGCATCTCGTGGCTCTTGGGCGCGTTGATGCGCCGAGGGTAAAAAAGTGAAAGCAAAGTGGGACAATGTACCAGGCGGTGTTAGGCACTGCGATCGCAGGCTGACAATTAGTTACGGGGATCTAACCTAAAAGGCCACGGGCGTGAATCGCCGGTCGAGAGGATCGTCCGTGAGGCGGAGGGAACGGAACGGACGAGCCGTCAGATTCTCACCTGGATGCGGGGGTCCAGCGTGGCCTCGGCGTCCTCCGCGACGTCCATGCTGCGGCTAGCGAAGGCGGCATTTAACACGCAACGTCAACCAGTCGATGTGTCAACTCATGATCGCCGAGTGCGGCGTGAGCTCTGCCTCCTCCCGTCGGGAACAAAAGACAATCCCACCTGCTCTCCCCCTCGACGCGGCTCTGCTTCTCGCGCGGAATTGCGACGCGGATATTTACATCCCGCGATAGGTCCTCCCTCGCGAACAATGCACAGCGGTCGAGACCAACCGAAACTCGCGCATAACTCGACTTGCGATATGAATGTTCAGCGAAGGGAGAGGGAACGACAGAATTAACGCGCGGGCGGGATAAATCACAGCCGAATATAGGCTTATGAACTGGTGGAAATAATCGCCGCGCGAACCGCCGCTGACGCATCCGCGTCTACACCCGCATCATCATCATCGCCGTCTCCGACCGCCTCTCCGTCATCCCCATCAATTGGACCGACCCGACGTTTCCGATGGAACTTGTTAGCCGCCGTCCACTGTGGCGCGAGATCCAGCGGACAGCAAAGTACGCGCAAGAGTCGATTCGAGGAATTTAGTTTAGAAGGGGTTCGACTGTACTCTCGTGACATCGGCGAAATGATCAGGAGAGCACAATCCGAGAAGAAGAGTATATATGTGCGATCTGAAGTGAGCCGCGCGTTCGAATGATTGGAATTCCGTAGCCGAGGTCAAGTCAGATGAGAACGCGCGATGAGGATGATTCTTGTATGTACCAAACTCTGGATGACTTATCAACTAATTTTTATTATTTAACGATGGAGGAATTATTAATATGTTTCGTTATTTGATATGTAGGAAGAATCGGAAGGACAATGAATTATGCAGAAATTTTATAAACAATTTTACGTCGACTTCGATCAAACTGCCGGATAAAAAGTTTTTTATGGGTAACTGGATATATAAAGCGTCATGTAAAATATGTTCATATATAAAAATATATAATTATATATTATAGAATAGAGTATTAAATTAGAAATTAATTAGATCGATAGATTTGCTTTGCCAAACAATGCTGCCAGAGAGATTAATCTACGATTAAAATTTCTTTTATCTTTATTTAATTCTAAGAATTAGAAAGAGAGGCAAAAAGTAAATTAAATCGAGAGTAGTAATCTGTGTTGCTAGAAATGGACATTACTGGCGATTCGACTTGAATTTTGAAATACAATCTTTATATATATTTTTTAGAGGATTAGATTTAATTTTGTAAGATATATAAAGAGAAAAAAATTATCCTCTACAAGGGAAGTGCCGCCATCTGGCAGGAAGCTCGTTCACCAGCGACAACGTCACAGATTGTACCGCGAGAGTCGGTGGCCAACAAACATGGCGTTTGCCAAGTAACAACGCTCCACGCCGCGTAACGAGTGCCTTACGGTTTTAGATTGATGTTACCGCGCGCACCGCTTTTCGTTCCGCGCCAGCGAACCGTTTTCTACATTTTTTTACTGTCGTGCAGTGCCGCGGCCCGGGCCTACTCCGGAGAGGGATCTCTCGGCCGTGCAACGGAGGTGTGCGTGCAACTAGTGCATCGCGACGGTGACGGCGGTGGCAGCGACGGCGACTCGCGACAATTCATCGCGGGTGAGTCACAGAAGCCCATGCGTGCACGTAATCGTGCCGTTATGCGCGCGAATAACCGCGGGTGTTAATTGACAACGCAGAAGGTAGGGACGATCGTTGTTCGAGGAGTCGCACTTTAATCGGGACGAAAAGAGAGTTGGCCGCGTCCTGGATGACCGGCACCGATTTCTCGCATCCGTTTCCGTTCCGTGAGTCTGTCACGCCGCATTCCCTTTTCTCGGGGGATACCTTGTTACCCAATACTTTCGGCCTTGTTTCTTAATATCCGTACGAGCGTGATTGCCGGAGCGATTCCGCGTCCGCGTCCGTGTCGGCGCGCCGTGTCAGTCGAGCGCGTCCGCTCGTGGGAGAAATTGGATTTTATATCGTTGAAGTGTCCGGGAATTTTTGCCGTGATTATCTATGTTTTCTTTGCGTCATTGGTTAACGATAAAATTGCGATGCGATAGGTGCCCAATATAGGTGATCTTTAGTTGAGTTTTATGTACTAAAATTGTTTGGTTGGATTATTATACTTTTTCAGAATAGGAGACCATTGTTTCGAAAATGCCTACACAGACGGCAGAGAATGATGACATTCGGGTGAAAATTATATACAATGGGTAATACATGTTATAACAATTGTTTTAAGATTTACATATGGTTTAATGGTTTAATACGTACGATTTGACTTTAATTTAAAGAGTAATATTTTCTCAAATTTTATATGATTTATTGTTTTATTTTTAATCTAAAATTTTATAAAAAATTATATAAAAAATTAATCATATTAATAAATACAACACGGTAAATATTTTTGGAATTAATGAAAAAAAAATTAATGAAGTATTGATAATAAAAAAGAAGTAATATAAATCAAAGAAAAATAGGGATTTTTAAGAGAAGTGTGTAACATGATGTTTTTCTGTATTAGGGAGATACAAATCACATACATCACTCCCGGGATTTCAGTGGACACATTGCGCGAGGAAATGCGAACGATATGTGGCTTTGGCACAGAACAATTCACAATGAAATGGGTGGACGACGAGGGCGACCCGTGCAGAATCGCCTCGCAACAGGAATTGGATGAGGCATTACGGCTGTACGAGCTCGAAAAGGACACGGAAATAACGATACACGGTCAGTCAGACTATTCATGTTGAAACATGTTGTGGATCTTGCAATCATCTCGCATGTTGCATTGATTTTAGCAATGCATTAAACCGTTTGAAGACTGCATATTGCGTTCAACTAAATAATCGCTTGCATGTTAGACGCTTATATAATTAGGAATGAAGCACCCGTGAATCATGCACATAATAGTCAGAATCATCGCACGACGAAATGAAGGTGCATATATATATATATATGTATGCAACAGAATAGGTTCATCAGTAATGTCCACCGATGTCTTTAATATTCTACGTTAATGGCTACCGTTTAGATAAGAAGCCGCCCATAAATTACGCGGAACAATATATCTTGTCCGCGCATATTAGCGATAGCGTACTACATGCACATATGCAGGCGTTGCAAAGCGCTCCATGTATTGATACACGCCTCGGATAACGGTATGTACGTACGCCTCGGCAATCCTCGCCTTATCGGTGGTTTATCGTCGATACGAAACGGCGATTAACAGCGAAACCGCTCCATCGGCGCCTGATCGTAGTCGATGTTTACTCGATACTCATCGATCGATTCGGCGCGCGATTTCTCAAGGATGACAACATTCTCAGATCGCGGTGCGCGTGTTTGCATAGATTCTATATATTCAGAGCCGTCGATGATACGCTTAGAAATTCATTTGCCCTCCGAGATCATCCGAGATAATTCGATACCGATCTCATTTATGCGACAGTAGGATACTTCTTGGGAGACGAACCGTGTCGTGATCGCGCATACATTTCCGGTTCGGAAGACTCGTCTCTCCGCGTCTTCTTTCCGCGCGATTTTAAAGGCGATTCGAACCCCTTTGACAAATTTATGCGCGCCAAACTCTTTGAGTTTCATAGATTAATGTCTCAAAGAAAAAAAAGGATAAATGTAGACTGAATATATATTTTGTTCTTGAACGAAGTGGAATTAATTTGCGATGTATGAGTATAAAAATATCGACCGCAATCTTTTCCAAGAAAGCATCAAGATAATGAGGAGGTAGAGCTAATTAAAATACTCGATCTCAAAGGATTATAGAGTCCCCTGCTGAATATATTGTTTTCATAAATAATTCTCTTACGAGACATAGCTTAACAAGATTGCATCTCTTTTCTGGTGCTTTTAAACGAGCCTCGTGAAGAATCAATAATTTTCTAAGGCGAGACTCTGTATGCGAACTTCATTCGATATATGTAAAATGATTGAACATCCTATGATATCGATAGAATCTCAAGATTCTCGATCCACGTGCAATGCACGTCAATCTTTGTAAATGTATACATTCGCGCGGTATCGGTCGCGATGACTGCATGCTGTCACGAAAGAACGAAGAAGAATCGAGGGGGCAGCGATTGAAGAAGCAGGAAATGTAAAATAATAACTCAAAGAGATGAACAGTCAGCGATCAAAGTGAAAGATGGGAGAAAGCCAGAAAAATAGAGCAAAGGATAAAACAGACCAAAGTATATTGCATGTTGTGGAACAGAATGGTTTTCTCGAAACTCTCTTCGTAAAGCCGGAAATACAAAAGGTAGAGAAATTCCTGATGGGAAGAAATAAAGTTAACGAAAAGGGCGAGAAACATATACATATAAAATATGGGACGGAGAGGAGTGCAAAGTTTACTTGAAAACGTAGGACAAGAAGAATCACTAGATAATCAGTGAGCAAACAACAAAGATAGGGACAAAAGAGCAGGAAGGATGAACGGAAGAGAAAGAGGTAGAGCTTGGGAGAGGCAGAAGTTGCGGGTGGATATAGGCGGGTGTAGCACCGGTAGCGAGGCGACGACGGGGGGGGTACATGTATTACCTCCATCTCGGCGTGATCCGCGTTTGCGCGATTCGGTCGGTAGCGTGCGCCGGGCGGCGGCGACGACGGCGATGGTGGTGGCGGTGGCGGTGGTGGCGGTTAACGCATCTCGCCGCGGCGGTAGTCGATATCCTTGCACGGACCGATCAGCAAGGACGCACATACACACGTCACGTTGCCGCGCTATCGTTGACGCGAATCTGGTCGTGAGATCGCGAGATCGGGTCGTCACAGGCGGGAGGAAAGTGTCGGAAAGAGGAAACCAAGTCGGAGATCGTCGCGGGGTTGCAGAGAGCCCCTCCGACAGCATCGTCAGCCACGAAGAAGGGGTTGCGTCATCGTGCGCTTCGACTACGGCGGCGGCGGCGGCGGCGGCGGCGGCGGTGGTGGTATTCGGCGGTGGTTGTCGGCGCGCTTGGCTCCCAACACCGCGAGTGGAGAGAGAGGTCGCAAAAGAGGCGGTAAACTAGCATCGATCGAGGCTGGTGATTCGTCGCATGCTCATCCCGGCGGCTCCTGTAAGAGGTCGACCGCTGTGAAGGAGAAAGAGGCGAAACGGAGAAAAAAAGGGAAGAACGAGCTAAAGCTAAGGGGCGAGGCGGGTAAGGCAATCGGTATACGTACATATATAAGAAGAAAGAGAGATAGAGAAAGAGAGGGGCAGAGAGCCGCGAAAACAGGCGAGGTACTCGCGCGCGTGGTTGGAACGAACAAAAGAGATATACATACACCGCGGCGATCGAGTAAGGCGAGGCAAGCACGGCTGGACTCGCTACAGAATGGCGTGGGGCTACTGGAGCGCGACTTCCGTCAGCGATCGGGGTCGGTCACCTCGCCGCGAAAAGGACAAACAACATCAGAGCCTGCATCAGCATCAGTCATCGTCGCAGCAGCAGCAGGCGCAGCAACAAATGCACCAGACAGAGCTATCCGCGCAGAGTACTTACGCCAGCGTGCAGGAGCGAGAGCTCAGTGTGGCTCACCCCGGCATAGGGGTCACGACGGAGGAACCACCCTGCAGCATGATGATCCAAGGTGGTTCCTTCCTTTCGTACTCGGCGGCGACAGCGGCCGCCGCGGCTGCAGCCGTGAGCCGTCGTATCTCCACCGTCGTGGAGGGAGGTGGCGGCGGTCCGTCTTCCTCCGTCACTTCTACCGGCATCCAAGTGTTACCGCGAGAACGTCACGTGAAACCCGGCACCAGCACACATCCGCCGTCGCCGGGTAGCGGCGATTCGGCCGAGTACGAACAGCCGCTCGCCGGTCACTTACGCGCCGCCGACATCTCGCCGCCCCCTCGAATCGGTAGTCCGCCGCATCACCATCATTATCATCATCATCATCATCACGATGATATGTTCGCACAGCCTGGCACCTCGTCCAGGGCGAAACTGCTCCCACCGGATACCATCGAGGGTATGGATGAGCTGTCCGAGGCCGAGCTCGAGGAGGTGGCGGCGAACGCCGAGCTAATTTACGGCATCGGACCTACCGCGACATGTCGGGT